ACAGCAATCCTTCAAGGTTGGATTATTCCCTCCCCGCATTTCCCCACATTTTTATAGACACAAAAGCTGAGGTTTGGTAAGCAGAAGCAACCTTGCTCAAGATCACGTGATCAGTAAGAGGCACACTCAAACCCAGCCTTGTCTGACTCAACACCAGGGTATCCTTTTTACTGTGCTGGCCAATTTTCTCTGCTTCATAGTCCTATGCTCTTGGACAAGTGTCACCACTGTCTCCATGGGGGATGGGTTGTGAGGGCCCTATTCTGGCAGTCCTGACACACTGAACAGTTCCCTGCCCTGGCAATTCACCTTGCTCTCATCTGCTGCACTTCTATCTAGTTGTGAGATGGATGTCACTCAGTTGCCAACGAGTTCTCAACTAGTCATGCATTGTTTGCAGTCAGTCATTTATTCAGCATTTACTAGGCACCCACTATGTGCCAGTCGCCCTGCTAGGTCCCAAGATACAATAATGAAAAAGGAGGTAAGACCAGTGGGGAAGACAGACACCCTAACACAAAATTACAATGCGTGGTTAAATGCTATGGAATAACTAAGGAAAAACATTCCTTTTGTCATGTATTCAGTCAATCATTTATTCCTTCTACACCTGCTTACAGAGCACTCACTCTAACATGTGCGAGAGGGGGCAGGAGCAGACATGAAAGCCACCAGCCCGAGTCTGCTCCTCACCCCCTTTCTTCTCATCCCTGACTCGATCTTGTGCTGCGGGGGGCCTCTCACGTATGTGTTTGGACACCCCAACCAGCGTGAATGTGTTTTTAAATATCTCTACCTAGAACCTCTTACAATTTCGAGGAGGCTTCTGTGGAGCCTAAAAACAACTTTTGAATTGTCTGAGGATGAAGCGCTAGAATCCAGGACCCAGAGAGTGGTACAGAAGGGAGGACATGGGCTTTGGGTGGGCACTCCATGTTGCCTCTATACACTCCTTCCTCTTTGGCTGGTGACAAGGACAGAAGAGGGCCAGAGGGTCTCAGAGTATGGTCCTCAAACCAGCAGCCTGGGCATCACCGGGGAGCTTATTAGAAATGCAGAATCCCAGTTCCCACTGCAGATCCTGTAAATTAAAATCTGCATTTTAGCAAGATCCCCAGGTATGTCATATGCATGGGATGGCTTGAGAAACACTGTTCTAAAGGCTGTACATGTGATCCCCTCTTTTTTTAAATGAAGAGACTGGGCCAGAGGAGGGGCCCTGCTCGGGGCCAGGTTGCTCGGTTATGAGCCTACACTTCAAGGTACCTTAGTATTCTCTAGTGGTAAATTTGTGCCAAAGCAAATTTGAGAAAAAACACCTTTTGAGCAACTCACATTGACAGGGGCCTGGAATAAGAGATTTATAGCGAGTGACCCAAGAAGGGAATTCCATTAAGTCATGGGCAAAGTAATTAACGGAAAGTTAGTGATAACAAATCACTCCAGGAAGGAATCTGAGGAAGGACTGAGAAACTTTTTTGTTTTCTATTTTGTTTCCAGGTCCAGCGCACATGAGCAGGCGGGGGCTTCCATAGTCAAAGTAAATTGCCCTCTTCTGGTTTCGTGCTGTTTTGGATTTCTTTGGCCTTTTCTCCCCTTTCCTTAGTATGTTCCCAGCCTTTTCTAAAGTGTCCCTGTTCTATTTGCCTTCATTTCTCAGCTTTTGATTTTCTCAAATCGTTCACTCTGCTCCAGAGAATAGAAAACAGTGAACAGGATGTTTACAAATAGCGTCCAGTGCGTTTCATGCCACTGCAAATTTCTACCATTTTTTTTACCAAACATTTTATTATGAAATTTCTATTCATACATAGAAATAGAATTGCATTTAGATTTTACAAGTTCCCTTCACCCAGCTACGTTTATGATCCTGTTGCCAGTTGTTTCAGTTTCATGTAGCCCGTCTTCTCACCTCTATCACTCCCCTACCTTTTCTTTTTCCTGTCTCTTTTTCTCTTTCTCTCCTCTCTCTCTCTCTCTCTCTCTCTCTCTCTCTCTCTCTCTCTCTCTCTCTTGCTGACGTTTTTTAAAGCAAATCCCAGACATCATATCATTTAACTCATTTCCTACAGAATTTCCTGGAGGCAGGGCCACAAGAGAGTGTAGGCTGGGGAAGTCATCTCATGATTGTGTTCTACAGCAAAATATGGAATTTGTGTTACTGAGATAAGGAAAAATACAGAATTTCTAAAACCTCCACATAATACCCCAGATATTGCAGATTTTATTTTCTATCTCCATGTTCTCCCCCTAGAGTCTTTGAGGGGGGGGTCTGTGAGAACCTTTTCATTTTTACTGTTAAAATATCAACCGAATAACAGAAACTTTGAATGTTTATGTACTAAAAAGAGGTGAATATTCTCTCACTGTTAATAAGAGCATTCTGAGAGCATCACTTTTGAAGTTAAACTTTGTCAGTGTAAAGTTTGAGATCTTCCATGACAAAAAACCCAAACATATCCCCCCGCCCCGCCTCTGTGCAAACCCCTGAGCTAATTGTTGGAGCAGTTTCTTTGGATAGACCCTGGATGTGAAAGCATGGTGCACAGTTGTTTTAATGTTCACACACGTCAGATCTATGGAGTGTCAAGTAATTTGGAGGTTTGGATATTTTTCATTAGTAAATATCATCCAACTAAATTTGGGTAAAATGCCCTCTAAATAAGTCAACTAGACAGGGGCTTTGAATGAGGGAATTAATCATAGCTGGTGTCCAAAGGAAAAGAATCCCACTGTGGCATGGAGAACATAATTAATGGGAGGTAAGCACCAACAAATCACTCCTTAAAATATTAATGCTATCAAAGAACAGCTGGATAATGAGAGAAACTTGACCCTTGGGGGACTAGCAAAGGTTGCTGTTGCTGCTGCAGATCTTGTTGCTGTTGCTGCTGCAGAACTTTTTGCAGTTGTGATGTAATGAAATTCCACCACATTTTAACGAAAATAATATTAAGAGGTGTGGCTCTGGGCAAATTATCAGCAATAAACATGTCTTTGTAGTTTTATCATCTTATTACGATCATTATATCCCACTTTTGCTGTGGTTCCTGAATGACTTTTTTCCTTAATTGCTCAGGATATATTTACAATCCAAACAACACTCCCCAAAATAACTAGATTAAACAAAACAAAACCCTTTAAGTCTGGCAGAGACATAAAAACAAAAACAAAAACAATAAAACCCAGTGTCTAAGAAATTTCTGCAAAACAATTTCCCATAGGCTTAAGTTAAGTTCAAGAAAAACTATCCCATTGTTTGTTTGTTGATAAAAGCCCAAACTTAATTTGATTTTTCTTAGTACTTTAATATTGTACCAAGAAATACCTATTTTTTAAAAAACAATAAAGTTAACTATTTACATAGTTCCACTTAACATGTGAAATGTTGGACATTTATTTTTATAGTCTTATACCTAAATACTAATCCTAATATTTGAAATCAGAAGTCAGAAGTAATTCTTTACTTGGAGTATACTTTAAGTTAGATTTTTAAAAAAGAAGTCTTTTTATTCAGAGTTAAAACAAAAGTTTCTGTAGCACCGCCTCGGAGCATAGGAACCCGGGGCTGCGAGGGCGGTAAGTGCTTGTGACCGCAGATGCAGATCGTATTGTCGTATCGCTTGTGCCCACCACTCCGTGTTCCTTTTGTTTCAAGCGACTGGCCAACATCTAAATCAGTGACACGGCTATTTAGCGTGTTTGACAAATCGGTTGAGATACGCCGAACATACTCACACATACCAATAAACGATGAGAGGAAGTTCAGGATGCAGTAAAAATAAATTCTTGAGTTTAGCCCAGGTCTCACGTAACACCGGTTTCATAAGGTACTTAGCCGCTAAAGGAGCAGTGCCCCCGAAAAGAGCCCACAGGGGACACATCATTTAAATAAATGTGTTTCTTTGCCCGAACAGAAGTTCAGACCTGCTGAATTATCATTAATTTTGTTCTTTTATTTCCTTTGCAGGCGTGAACGGAGGAGTCGTGCTCTTTGAGGTTTTCCGAGCTGGCCTTGGCTGTGGAGTGACCCGCGATTCTCCCCGCGGCGGCGCGCGGGTCAGGGGTGGGGACAAGAGTGCGATTGTGCGCGCGCTTGGGAAAAGGCGCCGCTCCTTCCCGAAAAAGTGGCAATGCAGGTGGGAAGCTCAGTGCAAATGTTGGTGACCCCCTAACTAAAAATCATGTTATTGGTCCTGAACCCTTAGAACCGGTGTCCCAGGAACGAGTCCGGGACTGTGCTCAACAGAAGACGGATGATCCGACAAACTTCAATCACTGAGCTCGTTTTTTTCAAAAATTAAATCCATAAAAAGTAAAACCACGCCGCCTCCACTCGCGCGCCAACGCGCGTGGATAGACGCCGGCACCCGGCAGCCCCAGCCTCACTCTGCGGAGTCTCCTGGGCCATGAGAGAGTTGGGGTGCGGGGGGAGGGACGGACGCTCGCAGGTTTAGAGTCAAGTCCTGGGGGAGCGCGACGGGCGGGGTGGCCGGCGAGAGGCGGAGGATGCGCGCGAACCAGAAAGCGCGGAGGAGCCGCGGCCCGCGCCGCGCCCGCTGTGATTAGCTCCAGCGGCGCGACCCGGGAGGGCGGACTCTGCTACCCCTCGCTGTCGCCTCCTCCCCCTTCCTTTTAAAGGACGCCTTGCAGGCAGAGCTGTCAGCAACTGGGAGGCCGTTTGTACTTGGTTGCAGCAAGGCTGATTCCTGCTCCCCAGACAGATAGGGCCGGGGGCTCAGCAGCCGCCTGCCCCGGGGACCCGCACGTGGGAAACAAATTCCCCTACCTTCGGGCTCCGCTTGAGACCCAGCGGCCCTGGAGTTGGCAGCCCCGGGCGCGATGGCTCCCGTGAGGAGTGGGGAGGGAGGTGGTCCGGGGAGCGGCGCGCCCCTTGCGCCCGGAGCGCTATGAGCCGGGCAGAGGGCGACACAGCAGTCCCAGCAGCAGCAGCCTCGGCCGGCGCCTCCCGCGGCCTCTCGCCCACTCGCCCCCGCGCACCATGCTGACCCCCGGCCTGCGGAGCTCGCAGCGCAGCCCACGTTGCCTCCCGGGCCCCTGTTAGCCCAGGAGGGAGTGGCCTCGGCCGCCGGGGCCAGCGCCCGCACGGTGCCCCAGGGGAGGCGGAACCGAGGTGCGCTCGGATCCCCGGCTCAGCCGTTCGCACTCCAGCTGCGTCCCCCTCCCGGCCGCCCAGGGCGCCCAGCGGCGATGGGGGCGCTGCTGGCGCTCTGCCTCTTCATGGGCTGGCTGCGCTGGGGCCCGGCGGGCGCCCAGCAGTCCGGGGAGTACTGCCACGGCTGGGTGGACGTGCAGGGCAACTACCACGAGGGCTTCCAGTGCCCGGAGGACTTCGACACGCTGGACGCCACCATCTGCTGCGGCTCCTGCGCGCTCCGTTATTGCTGCGCCGCGGCCGACGCCAGGCTGGAGCAGGGAGGCTGCACCAACGACCGCGGCGAGCTGGAGCACCCGGGCATCACGGCGCGTGAGTGCGGGGCGCTCGCGGGCAGACCCCAGCCCGCTAGTCGGCGGCGGCCGTGTGCGCGCGGGAGGGCGCGCCAGGCCTTCCTGGGCCTGGGCGCAAAGTGGACGCAGCCGGGTTGGGGGAATCGAAGGGAAAGTGGGTGGTTACGTCTCAGGCCAGAGGGCCCTGTTTCTTTGCAGTCCCGCTTGCCGCCGCACGTGGTCTCTGCGGGTCGGCCCAAGGCAAGGGACAGCGAGGACCGCGGGGCTTGCACCTGGTGGCCCTGGGGAAGACAGCTGTAGCTCCCGGGAGAAAGTCCGTGGGGAGAGCGCCAAGCTGGGCTGGGATTTTTAGGGGCGGTGAGGGCGCCCCAATGCGCGCTCTGGTCGCTCGGGAAGCTTCGGAAAGTGCCAATGGCTGGGGAACGCGACTCTTGTCACGCGCTCATTTGTAGCCCCGCAGGGCTAAGGAACTTCGGCAATTTTTTTCCCCCTTTGGTAGCGTTTCTAAACCGCTGCCACATTCTCCCACTTCCTTTCATTTCTGTGCATCGAATTACCCTCTCCAGCCCACCCCCTATTGTCACGCCTTTCAAAAATGCCCAGGTCTTCGAGGTGGAGATTTAGAAACCAGGGTCGCAGGGGCTTCCCCGCCCCCTAATCTCACGTCGGAAAACACGGGTCAAATATCCGCTCACTTCAGAGCGGAGTAAATCACGACCCCAGCAGAGGAAATTTACACCTTGAAAAAAAGTTTTCCACCTGAATCGGAACACCGGGGAAACCCTTTAGAGCTCGAGGCTATAGTTTTACAGCCGGGAAACCGGAGAAGCGGGCGGAGCTGAGAGGGGGGTGACACCCCAGGACTCCAGAGCGGAGGTCCAAAGCCCTCAAAAGAAGGTCCCAGGAAAGGCGAGGGGAGGCTGCAGAGATCACTAATGGTGCCCGAGGAAAGGGGAGTCTGCTCTTCATTAGTACTCCATTAGACTCTCAAGGGATTTAATGTGGGGGGTCAAAATTCCAGTCTAGAGGATTTCGGAACTAGTTTCTGGAGAAAAGATGCCCAGCGGCAAGTCGGGAACTGTAGGCCGTTCTGGCCTGTAAGAAAAATACAGACTGACTGCCCCATGACTTCGCTCCCCTCACCCTGGGGGCCCGGCTCCTCTCTGTGGTGTAAGTGTAATTACCCAGACTGCAGCAGGGACTCCAGCGGGCCTCCTGGCTCTGCTCTGATGCCAGAGGACAGCAGGCGAGAGGGGCAACCTCCGCACTCACTGACTCTGGAATTAGGCAAACCCTGAGGGATCATAGCTGTGTCATTTATCAGCAGTGTCACCTGGAGCCAGTTAATTAGCTGTTCTGGGCCTCTTCTTCTAAAATGGGCATATTGCTCTCAAAGAAGTTAGGTTGTTGATTAAGTGAGTGTGGGAATGCTTGGCACAGTGCTCAGTAAGTGGCAGTGATTCATCTTGGCCTTGCCTTCCACAGCAGTGATGTTAGCATGGGAGAACGGGTGCTACATCGAAGAGCTTATACCCAGAAGCCCACAGATGTTTTGGGGAAGGTCAAAAAAACTCTGATCTATTTCTGCATCTGGAAAATAGAGCTTATGTCCATTTCACAGGGTCTCCATCAGACTTGAATCAGATAACGGGTAAGAAAGAGCAGACACACAGTAGGGCTTTAGGCAATGCAGATTTTCTTTCTTCTACTTCTAAGCTGGAGTCTGCATCCCAGTGTGGCTCTGTTAGGGGAGAGACCTGGAGAACTGCCTAGGGGATGCCTCTGGGGTGGGAAATTTTATGTCTGTCTTGTAGAGAGAGAGGGAAACTGGAGTTTGCTCTGCATGAGGGATGCTCTTATAGAAAGTTTGGGCCACCAACGCCAAAAACTGCATCGTGATCTATCTAAATTTCAGCCTGACCTTCCCAGACTTTGGGTGGGAATTGAGAGACAGAGTATGACAACTGGAGCAGGCATCCAAAATCATTTCTGGAAAGAAGCAGCCAGAGCTGACAATTTGTGATACAGTAGGAGACACAGTAAATGGGGCCCACTGTGGATTTCTTTATACTTTTCTTTCTGGAGTCTCATAAAATCCTGGGAGTCTCATTTAACAGGACCAGTTTTCTTTGCTTTAATTGGAGATTCTTAGATGGGAGATGAATTGTCAGCCTAAGAGAAGGGTCAAAGCCCTAAGTGCCCCACTGTGATAAAACTACTAAAACTTGGATTTAAACCCAGAGTTATAGTAACCCCAAAACTCACCCTTTCCCTCCAGTGCATGAACAGGAGGATAGATTCTGTCCTTTCCTGACTTCCAGATGTGCAATATGATGGCTAATTGCTAACAGAAGCTACAGTATCAGTTTGCTTCCTCCCTGCTAGGAATAGCAAGAATATTCTGTCATCACAGTTGGCACTTTGGAGGTTACCCATCACCTCTGAAATGAGCTCTGAAATGTTGAACTGACAATAGTGGTTGGTAATACTGAATGTCCCACTTCCCACTCCTAAGCTGACCAAGCAGAGCCCGGAGTTTGCGAGGCCCTTATCCGAGCATCTGTGTATGTCTGTTTTTGCCTTTTAGAGCCAGTCTACGTCCCATTCCTGATCGTCGGCTCCATCTTCATTGCGTTCATCATCCTGGGCTCTTTAGTGGCTATTTATTGTTGCACCTGCTTGAGACCCAAGGAGCCCTCACAGCAGCCAATCCGTTTCTCGCTCCGCAGCTATCAGACAGAGACCCTGCCCATGATCTTGACCTCCACGAGCCTCAGGGCACCTTCCAGGCAGTCCAGCACGGCCACCAGCTCCAGCTCCACAGGCGGCTCCATCCGCAGGTTCTCTTTTGCCAGGGCGGAGCCAGGATGCCTGGTGCCCTCATCGCCCCCGCCTTACACCACAGGCCACCCAATCCACCTGTCCCAGCCGTCTGGTTTCCTGGTGTCACCCCAATATTTTGCTTACCCTCTCCAGCAGGAACCCCCACTGCCCGGGAAGAGCTGTCCGGACTTCAGTTCCAGTTGACAGGCATGGCTGTGAGTCTACCATATAGTAAAATGGCAGACATGTGGAGCCCCACTGCCATTGCCACACACATCACTGGGGAAATTTCCCTTGTAACTGATCAACGTGATGGAGGAAAGTGCTAGGAAAATACAGCGCCTTCTAATCTTAAGGTTTCTGGCTCCCATCACAGAATGGCTGCCTTAGATAATGGCTTTCTGGCTTTGCAAACATTACATTTCAATTTATGCTACTTTTATTAAAAAAATGCAGCAGTTTGACTTAAAAGTTGCAAATTGGCTGAAAATGTTTTCCTGAACAGTTCAGCTGTAGAGCTTAGAAAAGGGTTACATGTTCCTTTTTTATGTAAGTTGTTTGAGTTCTAAGACAGATATATATATATGTAAATAAGAAAAATACCTAATTGTAATTATCGAAGGTTCACTTAAAAAATTAACTATTAGGTAAACTTGAGGGACAGTGAACACCCTATTTATAATTTTGGGAGTAACCTAACCATGAATAATATTAGTATGATAAAGAATATTTACTTTTTAAATTAATAACTAAATTTTCAATAAAATATGTTTTTTTCTGAATACAAAGTTTCAGTAACCACATGAGAGTTTAAAGTTTTAAATATATACTCGGACATTCACTGTCACACAGGTTCTATCATTTCCCCACCCACCTGAGGGAATATTTATTGCAGACTTTTTGTTCAGCAACATTTAGTGTTTAAATGAAAGTTGAACAGTTGGATCTTAAAGCATTTATTTGTAAAATGAATTATGTACAAATGTAAAAATTTGTAATTTAATGTATTTACCACATTGACGGTACTAATTATTTAGTAGTCATGCTGTAATTTTTATGTTAATAATAACTGTGGAGTTCAAAGTCCAGCTATTGGTATAGTCATCTAATATTACATATCTCAAGTACCGCTGAATTTCATGTCTGATGACTACATGTTTGGGCATATATCCTGCCGGGTTAAACGAAATAAAATATGTTTTCATGAACTCTGTTTGAAATTTTAAATCAAAGCACTTCATTTTATCTCTTTGGTGATACTCTGCTATTCAATAAAAGGAAATGTCTTTACTTAACACGTACTTCATAGTGTGAAATAAAAAAATTTTTCTGCAGCAGGGCTCATGAAAACAACAAAAGAGGTGAATTTGTATACAGGTCTCAGTCTGTGGGCTGCTTGCAGCCCTCAGATGTGTCATTTGGCCTGTAGAGATGTAAACATCAAGATATTTCTCATAAGAATCTGGATTTCTGGCTTCTTGTGACATAGAAGACGCGGTACCACTGGTCCTACAGACAGGACACCTGCCATTTGCCAGCATCCTGCCTGGTCTTCCCCACCTGGCCCATCTCCTTCAGTTACGTTACCTGCCTTGCCCCTGCAGGTATGGTTTGGGAGTCCAGGTTTATACAAATTCAGATATATATTATATATAAATAAGATAGTTCTCAATAGTTCTTTTCAAACATAATAGTTCTTTTCATACACAACTAATTAGAGGTAGAATTCTTACCCAAGAGGGTCACTTGGCCCTGCCTCTTTGTTTTCCAGTTGAGGAAAAAAGTTTAAAGATATTGTGCCTTTGCCCAGTAAATGCTGAGGGTCTCTGTCTTCTAGTCTTTTGCTTTCTCTCACATCCAAAAGTGGCCTGACTTCGAGGTATCCCAAATTATTCAAAATAATTAAAGAAAGAAAATGGCTGAATGTAAAAGGAGAAACATTTGTGAGCCTGAGGTAGAGTATACTATACTGTTAGACTGGTTTTATTCACGTTGGCTATATACTGCTTCTTTTATTTTAAGTGAACCTTTATTCAGCTGTCATTATAAGCCAATCACTATTCTAAGTATTTCCATATATTAACTCATTTCAGCCTCCGAACAATCCTATTTTATAATTCCTGTTTTACAGATTTTTGAACTGAGGCACAGAGGAGTGAAGAAACTTGCTCAAGTTCCCATAGCTAGTCAATACTGGAGTTGGGATGCAAAAACAGACTCAAACATCAGGGGAACACTTGCTTTGAGATTTTGATGCCTCTGTGCACAAAATCCACTGGAGATTTCAGGAGCATGAGGCCCAGCCTCCAAGGCAGTGATTCTCAGCCCTGTTGGATCCAAGGAGATCTTCTTGTAACAAATATTTCGTGACATCTCTTTGTCCTAAAATTAAACTCATAGATAATATAACTCACTATTCATATAATATTAAAAAATCAATGCAATACAATCACATAATCAATTAATGTGATTTTTCCAAATAAAGCAAAGTTTGATCTTCCTTTGATTTGCACAATGGTTGTATATCCAGAAAATTCAATGTATACTAAGGCAGTGCAAAAAAAAAAAAAATACTTTCTTTAACAGGCAAATGGGATTAGGTTTTTCCACCTATAGGAATGGTGGGACATTCCCCGGTCATGCTGATGGACATCAAGTCTGTTGTGCGGACTGACCCAAGCATTGTAGGATCTCTCTTATAACCGAGTCACACCCAATGAATGCCAGTGACACACTGCCTCTACTCCAAAAGATTCTAACACCAAAGAAGCCCCCCACCATAATTCCACAATTTCCTCTAGAGGGTGGAACTGTCCCACTGAAAACCATCTAGTTTGTCAGGTTTCTCTAGTGGCTGTACTTTTATTTACCATCCCTTTGGAGAGCAGTTTATGTCCATTAGGCAGACTAACGCTAAGGAATTCACAGAGAGCTCACATCAGCAAATTTCCCTTCCTTAGCAGGATGCCCCAATCAATCAAGTTAACTGGCCATAAATTGTTTAAAAGTAGGGGAATATTGTATATCTCATCGTAATATGGAATTCAGTGACACAATCAAATCATATCCCCATGTACTTGGTGACGTATGGCACGTCTTTGGCCTTCTCTCAGTAAGCTGTGTAGCTGATGATATTATTCACACTCCTAGGTAATAAATCTGCCACCCTGTGGCAGATTTCTAGATATTGTCTCATTCAACAAGCCTTTGTTGAATACCACATATTGGTTAGGCACTGTGCTAGGGGTTGACAGTACCAAGATGAATAAAATGCAGTTCTAACTTAAGAAGCCACTATTTAATATAGATTCAAGCACAATAAAATGTTAAAATGATGAAATGTTGTAAGCGCTTTATAAAAGAAGCACATTATCTTTCCTGCTTTCTAGGAGCTCACAGTCAGACTGGGGAAGGTGAACCCCTAAACCAGCCCTTAGGTTGCTGTAACTGCAGTGATTACGCAAGAGTATGGGATGTCCTGGCAGCACGTACAAAGCACACTAATTCTCATATTGGACCTGAGCCTTGAGAGACATGTGGGATTTGAATGTAAAAGATGGGGGTGGGGTAAGGGTAGGGGTGGGGTGGGGGAAGGGAGAGAAGAATGCTGGAAATGGGTGAAGAGCCTATTAGGCAGAGTAAAGAATTCGTAGAAAGGCAGGGAAGCACCCATGAGCGTGAAAGAACAAGGAACTTTCTGGAAACTAGACAGAATCCAGAGGAAAAGTGAGAGTGGACAGATAAGCAGGGGCAGATAGGAGACCTTGAACACCGTGGTAGTTGGATATATACCAATTGCAAGAGGGAGCCTTGAAGGATTTTATAGGGGAGAGTGACTTGATCATATCTTTATTGTGGAAAGATTAAACAAGGGTCAAATCAAATCACTTGAAATTTCCAAGGAGATGCTCACCACAACCTGCCACAACACCAAAGCACAGTGGGAACTTATCTTTTTATTATTTTCACAAGGAATTTGAGTCCCGACATCCTCATGATTATTATGAAAAATAGAAGTTCTAAATTTTAAAAGGTAGTTAGGCCAATAATAGATAGTACTTATTAAGCACCATGTGTTTCTCACGTGCTTTAGGAATTGTATTATTTAATCCTCACAATCCTGAAGTAGGGACTACTATCAGGCCTGTTTTGCAGGTGAAGAAATCAAGGCAGGAAGGTGAAACTGTATGCCCAAGGACAGATAATAAGTAGAATCAAGATTTGAACCCAGTCAGTCTGCTTTGAAACTCTACATTCTTTATGACATTAGGCCTACAAGGCCTAATTTTCTCAGTAAAAAATGTCCAACCAGGGCCGGCCTGGTGGCGCACTGCTACAGTGCACCGCTTGGGAAGCGCGGTGGCGCTCCCGCCGAGGGTTCGGATCCCACATATGGACCGGTTCCCGCTCACTGGCTGAGCGAGGAGCGGGGGCAACGCCGAGGGTTGCGATCCCGTTGCCGGTCCCTGTCCGGTACGGGCGCGACACTGAGGGTTGCGATCTGTTGCCGG